CATAGATCTTGCCATTCGATCTGTTGAAAACCGGGTTCTTATATGAACATAACTATCCTTAAATGTTTCACCAAAATCTACAATATAACCCTAACGCGATACGATGCTCCTAAGATATGGGATACAAGATCTGATTAACATCGGATAGTACCCATAGGAACAATAGGTAATAATTCCAATAGTTTTGCATAGAAATATATTGCAAATGAGTTAAATTTTTGTCAGGGTATTTTATCTTCGGCATTCGAAAGTTTATCAGTTCCTTCTTGGCCGACTGCAAGTGACATTACCCATCAGTCGTCGTCTTTTGTTATTTTTGTTGTCTTTATTGTTATTTTAACTGTTGCACTTTTGTCCACGTTGCATTCTCCACTCCAGGTTTTCGACTGAATTGTGTCCATTATATAGATTTTCTCAATTCACGTCACGATAAACGAAATACCACCCAAAAAGCGAAACTCAATTGCAATAAGGAAATGATATTTAAAACCTTTTTTTTTTTTTTTTGAGTCTCATTTTACCGGTTAATAAAAAAATGTATTTCTTCTGGGGATTTTGCTGTTAGGGAGTCTGCTGATTCATGGAAAAATCAGATAATTATAATTATTGTAATACTTCGCGATAAGGTAGACACTAGTTTTTCTCATTTTTAATTAATGCTTTTTGTTTTTTATTACGTGTTGAATTCCGTGATTGAAGCGACCTAATCAACTTTATCTTTCAGTCTTCAAAATTAGTTACTAGTATATTTATTGATTTAAACAACAACAACAACAAACTAGCGTATTTACGAGTATACAACTTTTACCCAATTGGATATTTGCGAATTCAGAAACAAGAAATGCCAATTCTTCTATTTGTCAACTTGTCTACTTTAGGCAACTTTAAAGAAACCGAAAGTAATTTGAGGCAGTTCTTGAATCTTCAAAGTATTTTATAGATTATCTTGCTTGTTCAATATTGGTTCGGGGTATTCCGTGGTATTTGTTTCATGCTTTTTAATCGAGTACTAAAATATTTTGGTTTGTCTGGTCGTTTTTTAATTTTCGAATAATATGTTTTATCTTTGGATATCAACAAATCTCGCTTAGATACGAATTGTTAAGTTAATTGTACTCTAAAATAATTGTTCCAGGCCAGGTTTGCGTGTTGGAATGCAATTGTTCCAAATCATTAATTCACATTTCGCTAATAGCAAAAAAAAATGTTTTACAAGTATTTTTAGCGTGTCATTGGCAAAAGTTGCTAAATGTAGCTCTAATATTTCAAGCTGTACCCACTAAAAAAGAGTATAAAACAGGGTACAGTTTAACTTGGCAAGAGTATGTAACAGAACAGACATTTTTCAGAGCGATTGTTAAATAAACATGAACCTTATTTAACAATTAATATTATGTAAACTGATGGAAAAAGAATCACACTCAATGATACAAATTATACAAAAGTTAAGTAAATGTCAATATAAATAGGTCTCGTAGCAAAATACACGGTATCACTTAGTCGGGCACAGTTAATAGTTGTCATTTAATAGTGTATTTGCGGTTCAGTTGCAATCTTAACTGAAACATTTATGTTAAAAACCTATGAAAACTCAAATACTTAACTTCGAATTAAATCATTTGACACAAATTAACTAAGGAAGTGAATTTTCGGAAACATGATAATTGTTTAAAATTGATGAGTCTAAGAATTTCACACGCTTGAAAGTGATTTATTGATATTCATTGATTCCGAATATAAATTGTTTATTCGCAGCTTTACCCGACAAACAGGGCAAACCTTTCTTTGATCACAACAACGATTATCCATATATAAATACATACACACATACATACATACATACATACATACATACACACATACATACATACATATGTATATGCGCAATACAAGAACATCAAACAAGCAAGCAGCAGAAGGCAACAACAACAACAACAAGCCAAAACGAGATTAGAAATGGACAACGAAGTTCAAGAGCAGAAACAAGCGTGTAGTGGTTAATGGAGCCACGCGGGGGTCGGCGGCAACGGCGGCAACGCCGGCGTTGCCAATAGTGTGTGAAAAAAGGTCAAAGAAAGCAAAGAAAAGGGAACATATTAAACGTATGACAAAGGGGAAAGCAGAAGACACAAAGCATTTGCAAAACAGTATAAGCACAGAAGCGTCGGTAGAAAATCAATTTAAATTGAATTATACAATAAAAAAAATAAACGATTATTGCATGCAAAGAATTGAGAAACGAGCTCAGCATTGAGCGAGAGAATTGAAGCAAAGCATAAGAAAACTGAATGAATGAATTTAATTCGAACGCGAACGAGTAGCTAAAAAGCTAAATAAAGACAAGCTGTCGCTGCGGCTGCTGCTGCTGCTGCTGCTGCGACGGCGGCGACTGCATAAATTAAAGATGCCGCAATTTTGTAACAATTTGTAAATGCAGCAGCAGCGGCGCAGGCAACAAAAAGGAGATGCAAATATTGTGGTGTGGCCAGACTGTCTGGGTCACTTTTTTTTTTTATTTTTTTTTTTATTTTTATTTTGGGCCAAACAAATTTCTGATAATGCTGGTGGGGGGTAGGCAAGTGATAGACAACCTTGACGCACAGCGTCAGGTGCGCTGTAACGGTAATTGAACGTGCATACATTCACGCAAGCACACATTCGCAAAATCAACAACGTGCAGCAATTTTGATAATTTGATTCAAGTCAAGCAAAATACAAATTTAGTTGTCTCGTCTGGTTGGTTTGCGCTGCCGCTCAACTAAACTTGAATCCGGTTTCTTATTTTTTTTTTTTGGTCGGGATTATAAACAGAGGGTTGCATTTGAATGTGTGCGTGCTTGTGTGTGTGTGTATGTGTGGGTGTGTGGTTGTTATTGTGTCTGTGTTGAAAGGATGAAAATACTATTGATTGTTGTGACCTGCACATTTTACTCACCTTTTTGTATAGCGTCGCACTTGTTTTATTCACTGCTTTTGCCGCAGTTTTGTTTAACAAATACACTGCATTTTGTTAAATTGGACTTACACACATGCACATACACACATAGCGTCGCGTAATCCTTGCACCAACAATGCGCGCACACACCGTTACAAACACTCAACAGACTTGTTTCAATTATCAAATAATTTGAAGTTTTGTTAAAAGGACCGTTAAATGAGCGGCTTAACGAGCGTTGTTTTTGTTAATCAAATGTAAACATAACGCTTAATCAATTAAAACGCGCAGCACGCTCAGTTCGGCCGCTGTTGTTGAGCAAGACTAAGCGCGAGGCTGCTGGACAGTGTGACCGTGCAACGCAAACGGCAAAAAAGCAACCAATTTGCAAATGTTGTAAGATCTATCGATAAATCTCAATTACAAATATCGAACAGTAATCGAGTATTTTAACGGTTCAATTAGATATTTCAATTTAACGAAGATAATTCTTAAATTAATGTAAACTATAAACATGCTTCTAGAGTTATAATTAATGATGTGCACGAAAAGTCGTAAAACATGGTTTGTAGCAACAACGTCATTGCTATTAATAAATATGCTGTTTAACCAAAGTGTTTGAAACCTGGGGGTAATTCCATTACCACTTAGAATAACCCAAAGAGAAGTTCATTGCCGCCGTTAATAACAAAAAAAAAAATCAGAGAAAACAAATCAAACCAACAGACTTATTGACAATTGTTAATTATAGACAACGTTTGAATTCAGTTGAAACGAACTACATGAGCTGATAACAAAGAGTTTTGATAATGAAGACGTAAAGTGCAACTCGTCGAGACTGTTTGATCAAAATGTTTCTGCCCAGCAAAAATCCCAACAGCTGTCGTTCAGTTACGTTGAATCAGCGACGCGATGCGGAACATAGCACCAGTTGTTGCTCTAATATTTGCACTCCTTTGGACTGGCAGCGAGGCGGCTGCTCAGCGTCGGCCCGACGGACGCATTGTCAATGGCCGGGAGGCCAATGAGGGCGAGTTTCCCTATCAACTGTCGCTGCGTCGCCTCACCGTGCACATCTGCGGCGCTTCTGTGCTGGACGGCAGCTGGGCGATAACCGCCGCCCATTGCATTGACGGACACGAAAACCAACCGCAGGAGTTCACCTTGCGGCTGGGCAGCGTCAAGCGTGCCAGCGGCGGCAGCCTGATGCCTGTGCGTACGATCTACAAGCATCCCTCATACGATTCCAGGGACATGAACTTCGATGTGGCACTGCTGCGCACCCAGCCTGGCGCCCTGACCATGGATCCAAATGTGTCGCCCATTGGCTTGCCCGAGTCGGGTGAGCCGATTGAGGAGAATCTGTATGCTGTGGTATCCGGCTGGGGCTACATGAGCAGCACCGAATCGGTGCTATCCTCTGTGCTAAAATACACAACAGTGCAAACGGTTAATCAGGAAAAATGTCACAACGACTTGAGATATCATGGCGGTGTCACTGAGGCGTGAGTAATGCGAGATATGTCTCTAAAATATCCAATTAATAACGAACTGTATCTGTTTGTGTTAGCATGTTCTGTGCGTCAGCACGTAACACGGATGCATGTCAGGGTGAGTAGTTGTTAAAGAAGAGTTCAAATTATTATTAACAGTAACATTTTATTATTTTTTAATTATAGGCGACAGCGGCGGCCCACTTACCGCTCAAGGCCGACTGATTGGCATTGTGTCCTGGGGCGTAGGCTGTGCTGGTGGGTTTCACCTCTTGTTTTTTATACATCTTTGTATAATCTTTAATTTGCTTGCAGATCCCTACTATCCGGGTGTTTATACGCGCTTGTCACATCCATCTATCAGGCGTTGGGTGCGTTTGCTAACTAAATTATAAATTTAATTGTGCTTTGACTGCTAATCAAAACTAATAAATACATTCAGACTCATTGAATTGCGTGCAATGGTTCTTGCTTACAAAGTACTCACTTTCAAAATGCGCGCACAACACATTGCCTGTTATCGATAGTTACGTGCTGCGCTTACTTGCATTTGGCACATCGCTAAGACAACTTCTTATTGGAAAATTTACGCACACATCGTTTGGGCTGCGTTTGTGCTTGATTGATTGGTTTAGTTTAGAAATAATTTATAAATTTATTTGCGATTAAAAGTGCATTTAAACGAAACGAATTGTGCAGACAAGCAAAGACTAACAAATCGCACAATATAACGAAAAACTGTCGGCACAAACGCAAAGCAGCTGAGTGGGAGTGGCAACGGGCGTTAGTTGGCGGCGCGCATTTCTTATTGGGGTAAATGCAAATAAACCAACTAACAAAATAGATGTTTATAAATAAACCAAAACAACAACAATTTCTCTCTCTCTCTCTCTCTGTGTGTGTGGATTTAGCAGCAGTCTCGTGGTGAATGTGGTGGCGCTGGTGCTGGCTGTGCCTGAAAATGATCTATAAGCTATTCTGCTGTTCCGTGAGCCTGATATTCTTCTGCTTCAACGTGCTGTGGTTCTTCTGCAATTTGGCTATACCATGGTGCACACTGACCCTGGTCATTATTTGTGTGGCTTCCAAGTTCGTCAAGCTGCAGCGCAGCCCGAACGAGAAGCGTTTGCTTAGCCTGCTCAATACGCCGGACGACTGGCCCAATTATTGGCCCATTGCGAATCGTGGTGCCGGCTACGATGCGCCCGAGAATTCGCAGGCAGCTGTGAAAAAGGTGCGTGTGTGTGTGTGTGTGACGTCAGCGCCAGCCGGTGGTTGGTTTCGGCAGATCAAAAATCAATAACAACCCCACTTTGATGTTTTTTTTTGTTGTTTTTTTTTTTTTATAGTGCCTAGCACGTGGCTACCGAAATGTCCTGCTGGATGCCAGCATAACGGCATGCAGTGAAATTGTTATTGCCAATCGCCTGACCGTGGAGCGTGCCGGCCTAACGGGCAGCCTAACGCACCACACGCTCCACGAACTGCAGCAGCTGAGCATCACGGAGCAGCATCCCATGGGGTACGTTTAACCAGCTCAGGATTGCAAACACGAAACGAATCTATCTTCTACTCTTGCATTTTAGCTCGCAATACGAGAGGGAATCCGTGGCCACAATCAAGCAATTGGCCGAATTTCTTGAGGAGCAGAACACAGCGCCCACGTTATTTCTGCATCTGCAGGACACCAGCGCGATCATGATTGATCAGCTGCAGAAATTTATGGCCGCAAATGAGACATTCACACAGCGCACAATTGTGGTCAGTCGCTCGCCGTTGGCCATTTATCAGGTATGCAGAACCAGTGCCACAGTGCACTATCGTTATGGTGCACCCATCATGTATATTGTGAAACTTTTGCATTAACTACGTTTAAACCAATAATTTGACAGCTGCGTAAATTGAGGCCCGAAATCATTTGCGGTCTATGGCACGAGAGTTATTTATCGCTGTCCATACTCAAATCCTCAACGCTTATTACCTCTATTTATGGCGCAATTTTGCGTAATATAATTGCACCTGTAATTGGTATAAGTGTTGTTTTTCTCAACAAGGAGGAGTTCAATTTGTAAGTTTCATACTCAATTTATATTTGTTACCAAAAAATAAGCAAAATCAAATTTGATTTTTTAATGTTCAAAAAACGGTAAAAGTTGTTTTGAATTTTGGCAACGCCCCAAAAACTAAGTTGGCAAAGCGGTTCGATAAATTTGTAAAACTCAGAATACCGAAATGCAATCAATCGGAAGCTGTTGTTTTGTTTGAAAAGGTGGCAACACTGCCTTTGATTATATTTAAATGTAAACATGACAATTAGCCGTTACGTGAGAAAATCAAATCAAGTTTGGCTGAAAACTGACCCATATTTATATATTTGTGCATACTTTTTGTTAACATACAAATTCGTTGCAGGCACATTGGTGATCTCTGGCGTAATGTGGGCGTGCGTCCAATTGTTTACATGGTAAATTCGCCCAACGAGAAACGCTATTTTCAGAAAACAATGAAAACGCAATACCTCACGGACTCATTGCGCTCCGAGCCGCATCTCTTGATGAAAGCCTAAGAAAATGAACAAACGTATTTTCAAGATAAAAACGAAACACACACACACACACACACACACACACAATTCATTTGCATTTAGATTTATTTGTATAGATTCTGTGCACAGTTTGATTTTAAAGGTTTTTCCATTTCATTTGAAGTGCGAACATGAATTGTTCATGCACATTTGTTGTGTGCCTAAAGTGAGTTCTTGAATACTTCGAAGCTTTTGAAAGTATTACCCAGTAAAATTGAAGCTACTTTTATACTCTATGTTTTATACACAAACGTATTTATGTTTTATGCTAAGTTATTTATGCTTTATTCGATGTAGACGCTATTTATGAGGCGCAGGTGCTGCAATTTATATTTGCTATACAATTCCCACACGTCCTTTTATTTTTATTGAATATACTTTATTTATTTATCGCTATTTCTTGTTATAAATATATGTTTTTGACATTTTTTATATAGAACTTCATATGCTTTCATTAAACTAACAACAGAAAACTCTGCCGCATTATGTTCTCAAGCCTTGTAAGCTAAGGTTATTAGCAACTTATGTGTTAAATATACATAATATATATATATATATATATATATATATATATGAATACATTTTATAGGCAGCTTTTATATGCGAGCGTTTACTCAGATATACTTAAATTTTGTAGTCCCTTGTTATCTAGAGCCCACAACCCAAACATAAATATATATATATATATAAATATATACATAACTAAGCTTAAACTTAAAAAAGAAATATTCTTATGTATTTGGATGAGCACAAGCTAGAACGAATTAGCTATACGATTATACCAAAAAGCAAAAAGCATTTTATAACGATTCAGCATGAAGAATAATTATAAAAATCAAATAAACGAAAGTAAAGGCAATCGAAAAACAATTTTTATTTTTATTCTTTAAACTTGAACCATGGGAATTTTCTTAATGCAAGTCGGGACATATTGGATTGATCTCTGGATTACCTTCATTCCAAAGGCAGTTGCGGCTCCCACATATTGTCTATTGGTGATCTACCATTCCGGAGAAGCTTGATTATATTGAAACTATATTCTGAAGAATATAAATATCATTTACCTTTATCCGCTCTATAGATTTTTTCCACGCCCGGGATAATCAAAGTATTATCTCTTGTCTTTTCAACATTCCGAAAATTGCCATTTCATTTTAAGGTATTAATTTTTTTTTTAATTTCTTTATTAGGTATTTGATCTTTCTGAGAATTCTTACAAGGTAAGTTATTTGTGTATATCTATATTTATATATATATATATGTATTCATATGCATTCTGTTATGTATTATTATAACTCATATATGTATGCTTGAGCGAGCGAGTGTCTTTTATCTTAAACGTACAGCTCTCGCTCCGCCTCTCTCATCTGTTTCCGGAATTTTTAAACTTAAAAATTAACAATACGTAGATACATATATTACCATGCTGTAAACCTTTTTTTTTTTGTACACAGGAGGCATAAACAATAAACAAAAACTTATGAACTTTAAACGGAATTGTAAATATGCTAAAATATAAAATATATGTTGATTTATTTACGACGAGAGCGTGTGGCACGTTTGGGCGCTTCGGATTGTTCCGGCTGGGCTGTTGCCTCTTCCGTCGTCTCAAAGTGCACCTTGCGACCGCGTCCGGCGCGTGTGGGTGCCGGCGTCTCCGACGCATCTGCGACTTCCTGGACGGCCTTGGTGGTGCGTGCAGCACGTCCACGTGCAACCGGTGCTCGCTTGGTGGCCGGCATTTCCGCTGAATCGATCTCCACATCGTTGGCCTTAGTTGGCTCCGCCACAACGACTGGCGTCTTGGCGCGTGCACCGCCTCGGGCTTTTTTGGTAGCCGGCTGATCGTCTGCCTCCGCCTCAGCTGCTTTGGCTTTGCGTGCGTTCGAAGCGCCGCGTGCAGTGCGCTTCGCTGGCGTCTGCTTAGGCTCCGCATCATCCACATCGGCCTCTTCCTGTTGACTGGTGGCACTCTCCTTGCGACTGCGTGCAACGCGTTTGGCTGCTGCTGTCGGCGCTGCGGCTATAACTTCGGCCTCAACTTGCTCTTCAGGTGCCTTGCGTCGCGCACCGCCACGCGGTTTAGTTACCACAGGCATGGCCTCATCTGCTGCGACCTTTTTCTCTGGCGGCTGTTCGGCTTCGTCTTCAGCGGCAGCCTTGCCCTTGCGCCGCTTGGGCGTAGCAGAACGATGCGTAGCTGTATCCACCAAAAGCTCCAGTGCCTTGGCTGTCGGCTGACGGACACGACGTCCCCGCGATGTGGCCGGCTTCTCGTCGTCGGACGTTTCATTGTAATTCTTGCGCGGCACATTGCGTCCCTCACGTCGCTGTGAACTTGTTTGATCTGGCAGTACAATGGTCTGTCCAGTGGGCGTGTGTGGTGCCACAGGCTCCACAGTCGATTCCGCAATTGTATTTTGCTTGGTGGGCAACGGCGTGTTGGGCTTTGGTATGGGCGATGTCCCTGCACCCGGTGATTTGGCAGCTGTAGTTGCGGTCGTCTTGCTGGCTACAGGTTTACGCACTCGGCGAGACGAGCCTAACTTATCCTCATCTGATGTTTCGTCATAGTTCTTGCGCGGTAAATTCCGTCCTTCGCGACGTCGCGGCGTTAGCTCATCCTCTGAGCTTGGCAGCTGTGTTTTCGGCGATGCAGCAACAACAACTATGGCTGGTTCCGGCAGCTGCGCGTGCAAATTCTGCAAATCGAGATGCTGTTCCAGATCATCAACCGGTGTGGACAAAGAAGCTTTGCGTCCACGACGCGCGGTTGCCTTCTTTGCCTGCGGCGGCTCCTCCACTGAGGTTTCCATATGAACTGAAGGTTTGTGACCGCGTCGTTGGTGTTTCTTTTCAACTGGTGGCTCTGCTTCTGCGGCAGCTTTGTGCTCTACGTCAGCGCTGGGCTTGCGACCACGCCTAGCTTGTTTCTCTGCTGGCTCCTGCGTCGTTTCATCCGATTGCATTCCGTCGTCCGATGCCTTACGACCGCGTCGCTTTGGCTTAAGTTCGGCCGTCTCAGCTAGCGCATCCGTATCGGCTGTGGCTTTACGTCCGCGTCGCGTTGCACTTTTCTCCCGTGAACCGGATGCCACGACCAGCTCCTGGGCTAGCGTTGCTGGCTGCACAGATTCCACAGAGATAGATGGGCGTCGACCACGCTTTTTGACTGGATCGTCCAAACGCACGCTCTTTAACACCGGGTCGGCTGCTTCTTCAATTATAGCAAGATGCTCTTTGGATGCTGCTTGTTGCTCCACAGTTTCCGCTGAAGCTTTGCGTACATGACGCGTGGGTTTGCGCTCTGGCAGCTCCGCTGTTTCGGTTGTTTCTGTCACCTCTAATGATGCCTTGCGAACGCGTCGTTTGGGCTTCTCCTTGATTGGCTCCTCAATGGGCTTTACGGATGTCACGACTTCTGGCGCTTCATCTTCAACCGCTGTCGGTTTTCGACCGCGTCTCGTCCTCGGCTTATCCGGCTTATCTGTTGTTTTTTCCACAAGCACTTCTTTCATCTTCTCCTCTTGCTCCTTAGTTTCATTACCCTCAACTGTAGCTTTTCTTACACGACGTTTTGTTTTGGGCAGATTGTTTGGTTCTTCGGACTTCTCTTCATGCGTTTCAGTTTCTCCGCCAATAGCTTCTTCCACTTTCTTCTCTACAGGGGATTCCGTTTCAACTGCCTCAACTGTAGCTTTTCTTCCTCGACGTTTGGGTTTGGGCAGATTGTTTACATCCTCCGACTTCTCTTCATGCATTTCACTTTCTCCTCCAATAGCTTCTTCCACTTTCTGCTCTGCAGAGGATTCTGTAGCTTTTCTTCCTCGACGTTTGGTTTTGAGCAGGTTGTTTGCTTCATCGGACTTCTCTTCATGCGTTTCACTTTCTGCTTCTATAGCTACCACTTTCTGCTCTGCAGGGGATTCCGTTTCAACTGCCTCCGCCGCTGCTTTTCTCCCTCGACGTTTTGTTTTGATTAGATCGCTCGCTTCGGCGGACATCTCTCCCTGTGTGACAACTCCTGCTGCGATCGTCACTTCAACTTCCTTCTCAACTGTTCCAATATCCACTGTTGGTTTTCTACCACGGCGTTTGGGATTATGCTTAACGGCTTCTTCTGCGATTGTGGCTTTTACATTCTTTTCGACTTCGACATCAACTGTTGATCTTCTTTCCTGCCGTGTCGTTTTGCTTAAATCGCTTGTCTCATCAGACTTATTCTCTGTACTGATTTCGATTCCTTCTGCGATCTTTTCAGCTTCCTGCTTTTCAGCGGATTCTTGCCTTTCTTCCGTCTCCAACGCAGATTTACGTCCACACCTTTTAGTCCTGTCGTCCGTTTTCCCTTCTACTTGGGTATCAACATTTTCAGCGGCAAGTTTTTTGCCACGCCGCTTAGGCTTTTCCTGTTCAGTCGTAGGCATTTTCTCCACTTGTTCTTCATTTTCCGCAACCTTCGCCATAGATTTGCGTCTATGTCGCTTGGGCTTTTCCATCGCTTTATCATCACATTTCACATTCGTCACACTCACAACATCGTCCACGACATCCTCATCTTGCTGCACTTCTTCTTTTTCAATTATTTCTTGATCTTGAATTTCGGCAAACATATCTGTTGATAAGCGTCCGCTTAGCTTGGAACTGTCTTCCTTCACAGTAGGTGTTGCGTTTCTGTTGCCACGTTTGGTAGACTTCGGTTCGGAAGGTGCAGCTTCGGTTTCCACAAGAATTGATGGCCTGCGGCCACGTCGCACTTTCTTTGGCTCTTCCTCCATTTTGTTCTCCAAATTTTCAGTTACGTTTACTTTCTGGGCTTCAGTAGCTACTGCCTCCATTCGAACTTGTTCAGAGACTGCCTGTCGTTCGGACCCGTCGCCTACTTGTTCATCAACTGTTACTTGATTCAAGTTGTCATTCGATACTGCATCGGCATTTTCTATATTAGAAATCGAACTGCTATATTCAGGCAATTCGATTGGGACTTGCATTGGCGGTGATTCAAGAGGAGATTCAGCTTTTGTGTCCTCACTTCGTTTATCCAGCGCAGAGTTGGTGTCCGTAGAGGAATCATTCAGTTCAATTACCGCTTCATCAAAACGTGCAATAACTGTTGCATCAGCAACAGAGTTGGAGTCTGCTGTAGTAGAGTCATCTAATTCAATCACAGTCGCAGCTACAGAGCTGGAGTCAACTGTGGAATCATCCAATTCAATTACTGCCTCGTTTTCAACAGGTAACTCTTCTGCAGGCAACTTTTCAGTAATCTCCACCTCATCCTCATCTTGTTTGTCTAGGCTTTCCACTTGAGACGAGCTTAAATTGATCTCTTCTGCTGCTTCCATTGCAACAATATCTTCCGCTTCTTCGGATTGATCAGTTTCAGTTTCCTGTGCAATATTCGGTTGTTCTGCAATTTTATCAACTCCTTTATCATGCTGTCCAGCCAATTCTTCTTTACATAAAAGTTCTTCAACGCCAGTCAATAAATCTTTCGACTGCTCTTCTTTATCCATTGCTAAGCTTTGTTCAATTGGATTATCTGCTACAGATTCGGGATCATTCTCCAAATTAATGACTGTCTCAACTATTTCTGGTTCTTCAGAAGACTCTTCCTCGGCAATCGTGGGCTTCTTTTGATCACTTGCAGCTATTACATTTAGCTCCGACTGATCAGTGCTTTCTTCAATTGGATTATCTGCTACAGATTCGGGATTATTCCCAGCTGTAGAGCTGACATCCAAATTAAGGACTGTCTCAACTATTTCTGGTTCTTCAGAAGACTCTTCCTCGGCAATCGTGGGCTTCTTCTGATCACTTGCAGCTATTACATTTAGCTCCGACTGATCAGTGCTTTCTTCAATTGGATTATCTGCTACACATTCAGGATCCTTCCCAACCGCGGAGCTGACATCCAAAGCAATGACTGTCTCAAATATTTCTGGTTCTTCAGAAGACTCTTCCTCGGCAATCGTGGGCTTCTTCAGATCACTTGCAGCTATTACATTTAGCTCCGACTGATCAGCGCTTTCTTCAATTGGATTTTCTGCTACAGATTCGGGCTTATTCCCAGCTTTTTCTGGTTCTTCAGAAGACTCTTCCTTGGCAATCATGGACTTCTTTAGATTATTTTCGGCTACTGCATTTTGCTCTGACTGAGCTTGACTACTTTTACCTTGAACTCCAAGTTCTTCGTCAGGCGCAGCTTCAACTTTCTCATTTTCATCCGCTTTGATTACACTTGAGGCGGGTTCATTCAAAATGGAAATTGAAGCGTCAACTTGTAGTTCTGTAGACTCTGCGACGGGATTTGGTTTTTCTTCTTCGGTGTCCTTCTCTGCTACATTATCAGCCGTGTCATCTAAGTTTGTATTTGACTCTTCAGCCTGTACTGATGATTCTGGAACAGGGCTTGATTTTGCCAGTAGGTTTTCATTTACTTCAATAATGTCAGCTTGAGCTTCGCATGTAGCATCTAAATCGATTGTTTTGTAGTGAGCTGACGTTTCATGATCGGATTTTATATCTTCCGAGACTTCATCAGGTTTCTCAAGTTCTGACGCATTTGCTGTTGAAGCATCTAAAACAATATCCTCCGTTTCTTCTATAATAGGTGGAATTTTCTCTATCGGCTCATCTTGTTTGTCATTGGTCATATTTTCTTCTTCTGTCTGGTTTTCGTTTATGGGTACTTCAAGAGATTCCCGTCCTTTCATCTTAGCATTCAATGTAAGCAAGGCATCTTTGTACGTAACTTCCACCGATGCTTTTTCTGTAGATGAACATGGAATTTCATTTGCTGTTACAACTGAAGCATCCAATTCAACAACAGACTCATCGAAAGCTTCATCAGTGACTTGCATTTCATGTGCGTCCGTAGCCTCAGTCGAAGCTTTTTCAGCAGTTGCTTCCATCATTTCAGGAGTTTCACCAAGTTGTTTGCTTACATTAGCCGTTTCTCCCACAACTGATGTGTTCTGTTCTATCAACGACTCATCAACATTCGCGACTTCAGATGGAGCCGGTGCTTGTGCTTGGGGTTCATCCAAAGTCTTATCAGTTTCTGCTAAAACTGAAGCATTTAATTCGATGAGGGACTCATCTACATTTGTGACTTCCTCATCAATTGATTTTTCGCTTGTTTCGCTAACCTGTTCATTGACATTTTGCTCATTCTTATCGCCTTCGCCTACAACAGATGCATCTGGTTTAATCAGTGGCGCATTTACATTCGCAGAAGCCTCAATAGCAGGAGCTTCGTTCGTGTCCGCTGAGGATTCTTCGGAATATCTGGGCAGAATATCATCAAACGCTGCATTAAATTTATTTTTGTTTTCATCATCAAGCTGAACTATCGACTCATTCTTATTGGTTATACTGCTTTCAAGGATAGCTAGAGAAGTAGATTCCTCAGAGAGCATTTCAGATTCGACAGTTTTCCTCTCGTGCGGTTGTATTTGTGCCTTCTTTTCCTCATTGTCAGATTCGCTGCATGCTTCAAAAGCAAGTAGCGCTTCACGTTGATCGGTGGGATTCAATTGGTTTAACAACTCTTCGGCAGATCCTGGGTTAGGTTCTTGGACATCTGCTTGATAAACTGATTTGGCTGCTGAGTCATTAATCTCCACTTTCGGCTCATCTTCGATGGAGGTGGCCTCGCCTTTTGGTTCAATTTCAGCCACCGTTGAGGCACTGATTTCAATCAACAACTCATTAAGTTGGATAGTTTCCACCTCAGCTTCATCTGAATCTAGTATTTCACTGGGCGATGTTATTACAATCTCTGGAATTTGCTCCTCTAACTGTTCAATTAGAATGTCTGCTTCTTCTAGTACAGAGGCATCCAATTCAATTACGGACTCTTCTAGATCGACTGTAATCGTTACATTTTTAACAATTGCGTTCCCATCAGCAGGTGTTTTTGTAATTTCCTCAGCATGTGCATCAGCAGTTTCCCTAGATGCGCTTGTGGTACTTAATGCGGTTTCTTTGGACTCCATAATTTCACGCTGAGCTGTCGCTGCTTCCAGAATAGAGTCATGCGCATTTGTGGCTTCAAGTGTCCCAGGTATTTTGGCTTCATTTGTATCATTTGCCAAATTATTTTCAAGGGATTCTTTGGATACATTCGATTGAAGCTCCGGACTTCTCTCTTTTTGAAACTCGCCCTTTTCTTTGCTGGAGAGTTCACTTTCCAGAACTTCTTTTTCATTTGTGGCAATCGATATGTCTTCGACAGATGTATCGACGGCTTCCAGTTCTTTTTCTAGATGCTGAATATCTTGAGATTTATTGAACTGCACATCTTTATTTTTGTCATTAACTGTTGATGTATTCAATTCCCCAACATCCAGATCTATTATGGACTCATCTTCGCACACGTCTGGAGCTTCAGTTGTATTTTGGCGCAACGATTCTTCAGCTGCGTTTGAAGCGTTCAATTCATTTGTGGACTCTTCCTGTACTTTGCTTAGATTGTGTTCTAAAGATTCTTCTAAGCTTGTATCAAGTTCACCCTGGCTAACATTAATGGTATAAATTGTAGATTTTCTTTTGATATCAATCTGAGATAACGTTTCGTCTATGTTCGTTGCCTCCAGATCAATCTCGGATACGGTTTGATTTGATACTTCAAGTTGAACGGATAATTCTTCGACAATTGAGACTGTAGATTGCTGGCCGTTCTTCTGAGAATTTTCTAAGATAGTTGATTTATTTTCAATGCAGTCTTGCTCCTTGACCGATGAGCTCTCGGGTATATCAAAATCGCTTTTATCTTGTTCCGGTTCTTGGATAGTTACATGATGAGAATGCTCCTGTTCAAGTTGAGTTTTTTCTACTTGAACGACAGATTTGTTGGCATTTGGCTTCTCTAATTGCTCATTGCCATCTGGTACAACTTCCACCACATCCTCATCGTCGCTAAGTACTAGAGGCTCAGTCAGACCCACCATCGAATCCGTATCAAAACTTTCTTCCAGCCGCTCTTTCCTGGGCGTTCGCAATTTTACACGACCCGTGGCTTTTGTTTCCTCCAATGTCACATCGCGCGAGTCCACGCCGGAAACAATTAATTGCTCAGAGAACATGGAATCCGATGTTTGATCGAGTAGTTGTATGCCGCTTACTTCGCAAATTTCCGAAGATTTGGCAATTTCCGAATAACGCTCATCGATCAGCGCACTCATTTGAAGTTCCCCACCAGCGCCAGGCTTAAATGCGGTGCTTGTTAAAGGATCCCGATTGCTGGCATCAATGTTAGCAATTGACATCAGCGCCTCGGAGTTCATAGTGTCACTCGGTTCCACAGACTCGGCTCTTGCTATAGATGTGGACAACGGATCCGGAGCGGTAGTATTGGCTACGCTAACAGCAGTCACGTTTATCTCGGCCTCCGATTCCTCAACAGTGATGACGGGATTCGTTGCTTCGGCAGTTAGCACATCATCAAAGATTTTATCCAAGTGTAACGTAGTATTTGTTGCATTCAAATCGTATTCAGTTGTGGTGGCTAGCGAATTCTCACACGTATTCAGCACAGCGCTGGCGGGCTCATTTGGTATCATTAAATTCTTGCCACGTGGCGTCTTGAAATACAAGTCCTGTGCATCGCCCGGCGCTTCAGAATGTGTCAGCTGCAATGTAATACGATTTACAGTTTGTTGACGTTTGGGCGTGCCAGTTGCATCATTTGAATCAGCTTCCAGTAGCTCCTCAATGTTGCCCAGTATGGGAGAATTGGGCACCTTGGGTGTGCGCATCATTTCGCGGAGTCCCTTGAAACGCGGTGTGCTGCAGTTTTTGGGCGTCTTCAACAGTTCCCGCATGCCATAGTCAATTTTATCTGGTTCATCTGCATCAGCTGTCACTTCATTGCCGTAATCTTCATCTGCCGGCAATTTATCAGCTATAAAAAAATTGTTCAATACTAAAAACCTTTTCACCGCATCTAGGTACTCACCTTCTATCTGTAGTGCATCCTCCTCTTCTACTATGACGCCCATGTCACCCACTGATTCATCCACTTCCGCTGCTGGCTTCGGTGTATGGGTTGGGAGGCGTAGCGACTTGCGAGCTGGCGTAGACAGCTCCTCCGTAAGGCGCCTCTTACGTTTGGGCGTGGCGGACGCCATGACGTTTACTTGATTTTCCAGACTAGCAGAGCACGAGGCACGACGTGTGGGCTTGCTGCACTGCTGCAGCTTGTTGCTGGCTTCCATGGAGGCGCGGCGAACGCTGCGTCTGGTCGTTAAGCCAACTGCACTCTGTTCCACTGAAAGGCGTCGCATGCTGCGTCTTGGTGTTTTTCCTGACGTTGCAATCTGTTCCGCACCTTCCTCTGGCGGATCTGTATTCATATAATAAAAACATGAAAAGTATCTTAATGGAAAATACTATAAAATTTGTTTAAAAAAATATGTTGTAAAATGGAAAGTTACTTTTTTCCATGATTTTTGATTAATAACTTATGAGGCTATGTTTTTTTATTCCAATATTCGATTAAATTTCTATGAAACTTTAGTTCGACATAAGGTTAATATGTAACTATACAAAGAAAGAACGTTTTAGGGTACTTTATACCCTTTACCCAGGTCCAAACTGTCATAAAATAAATTTTACTAAACTAGATACCAGCTGCACATTTTAGACAGGGGCTACTTCCACCCTTAGCTTCACTTTAAAAAATGTATGCTTAAATAGATTCTCTGTTTAAAAACAGATCGTTATACAATTTGTAGGGTATAAAAAGGGCCATTGTTATTTGTTGTCTGTTAATTGCATTTTATCAATTCCTGACTCACCATTATCTTGGGCAGCATTCTCCTCGCTGGTGGGCACCTCCTCGCAAATGGCGTCCTCTGCTAGATGCAGGTCTGTATTACCATCCTCAACTGTGTGTAGAATTGCTTACATTAGTAAAGTTTTAATTAATAAACCATGATAGACTTTACCTTCTTGATATGTTGTTGTTGTGGCGACCTCCTCGCAGATGCTATCGTCAATAACATCAACTGTTGTCACATTGCACACGCTTACAGGGTGTGGATCCTCAACCAATTCCTGGTCTGTTTCTTGTGATCTAATAGATTTATCATGGCTGGTAACTTTTTTCTCAACACCGGTGGGTTGAAGATTCTCTTCATGAATTAAACTCTCATTTGTAGGCTCAACTGTTGTCGAATGTCCCACACCTGTCTTTAGGGGTTCGTTATTTTTGTTTTCAACAAAAATATCAGCAGGCAAATCCTGGGAAACATTCGCATCAATGGTTCTGTCTATTGCATGATTTTCCGTTTCATCATGGGTTTTATTCGCGGGCTCATTGTTTTCGCTGTTTGTTCTGGAAATTTCAGTATCTTTGGTGCCTGCTACAGACACTATTTCTTTGCTGCTCTCATTAAGCTCCAATCGTGCAGCATTGCCATTACTTTGACGTTCATTAAGAGATGCATCTAGCTGTTTGCTGTTATCCACACTGCTGTCCAGCAAACCAACTAGGCAAGGCTTTCCATTATCTTCATCGTTTATTAAAGCAGCCACTGCCTCCAAAGCTGCTGCTTCCATGGGCTGCTCCACATTTGCGACATTATCATCTATGGTAAACGTGTGACTCAGCACAGCCGAAGAATTTAGTTCAAGATCTGTTGTAAAGGTTTCATTGTCTGCTTGGTCTGGTGCTCCCATTGTCTGTGCGGTATCAACTTTGGGCGAGGCAATGCGCTGCGGTGTATTTTGCTTGGGCGAGTTGAGAGCACGACGTGCTCTGGCCACCAGCTTGTTGCTCATACCCATGCCGGGACTTAGCTTGGCGGCGGCGGCCAGCGTTTTGCGCACCTGCGAGATTTTGTTGTCGCGCGGACTGCTTAAGCATACTGACTGGCGTTTGCGTGGCGATGTCATCGGTGCTTTAGCGGGCACTCCGGACTGCTGACGACGGCCCACTGTGCGCCATTGCGGCTGCGGGTGGAAGGGTAGGCGTCGTGGCGCGGTCAGGCACTGACGACGTGCCTCGAGCAGCGACTGCCTGGCAGGCATTGCCGCCGGCGTGGTGCATTTGCTGTTAGTTGTGGGCACTTGCTTCTTAGCGCTGGTGATCAGTGCACGTTTCATCAGAGATTGCGGCGTACGCTTCGGCGTGGAGCCGGCCGCCAGCAACTTCTCCTTGGGCGTTTTAGCCAAAAGACGTGGCTGTTGTTTTGATGATGAAGGCGTGGATGAGTTGGTTATATCTATGACCAGCGGCGAAGCATCAGAGGATTCATCGGTGGAGTCGACACTGATAATACCAGTACTGCCGGGCGTATGTTTGGGCGTTACGGCCAATGTGGGCCGCAACCGTTGCGGCGTTGTCAAATCAATTAGAAACATGGATGATGGACGTTTGCCAGTCAGAGCCTTCTTCGACGTGGACGGCGTGCTGAACTCCATTAGATCGCGACTGCAGCTATCATCGTTCTGCTCGGAGAGCACACTCTTCGGTGTATTATAGACGCTTTTTGGCGTTGTCGCCGCCGACAGCAGTCCGATTGCTGTGCTGGGTTTCATGATGCGCGTAAAGGACTTTTCAATCCTGACGCCCGTTTCGCGTGGTGAAAACGATGTGACTACCACATCCGACCGGGCACACAACTGTAACATTAACTTATTGCAGGGCGTGCTGGTGTTCTCCTTATTCTGTGTCGCCTCCAGCAGATTCACTTTGGGCATCGTATCATCCCCTTCTTTGGCTGGTGGTGTTATACAGCGTTCCGGCTCTGCCACAACTGAAGGCTCTGCTGCATTGCTGCTTGTGCTAAGCTCCAGTTCGCGCGATTCAATGGATGTGTTGCCCTCATCGTCCGAATTTATTGCATATCGAAAGCTGTAAGCAACCGCATATAAGTAAAGCACATACATAGCATATATAAGAGAATAATTTTCGCAAGTATTTACTAAAATCCCGTGAGTTGTAAAATCGGCAAAATAATTCTTCATGTGTTTAAGCTCTTTTCAATTAGAGCTTTTGCTCAATCTTTTTTAGTTTTTAAGATCTGGTCATAGGAGTCACGTTTAAGTGAAGTATACTAATTATTACTCTAAAATATTAATAAGACCATTTGCTAGACTATATACTAGTTCGCTTTATTTAGGTAAAACACGTCATATAACTTTTGTCACATAACGTGTTATAATTTTGCTTGTATTAAAAAACAAAGTTAAAATAAAATAGTAGCAAACTCTATCAGCAGCTGATTATTTTATAAAACAGGTCCCACATATTCAGCAGAAATGGAAATTTTTTTCTACTTAAGGACTATTCTAAAATATTCCTTTTGGAAAATAGACTTTTGCCCTGTTTATGGCTCTCGCTCTATTGCACATTTACCCATAAACATACATAAGATTAATATTTATATATTTAAAAGAATGATAACTTAAAAATGCATTTGCCAGTTAACAAATATTTGCCGCATTTATCAAATTACGTATTTTTTCTATATCTCTACAAATATAACGAAATTTTGAATAAAAATCGCATTTTATTTTTGTTGCCTTGCGTATAAACGTAGTTATTCTAGACAACATATAAAACTCCTGTACTATATTTATCAATATGTGTGCATATATACATATTGTATTTGTAAGGGTCCTAAATAATAAGTCTTTATGCACACATTTTTATGTGTTACCAAATTACTACATAATATTTATGTTTAATAAAATAATATTACAATAAACTAACAAATGAAGTTTTCTAATCTTGTGCAGCGCCGAATATTTCTTGATTGTTCTGCAATGTCTTGATTTGTTCTTGAGTTTTCTTTTCTGTCAGAGCATATGTTAGCGCATTTAGGGGTTAAATGTGTGTTTGTCCTTAGACAGTCTCTGACTACCTGGGTCGCCAGCTGCCTGCTGCCTGCTACCAGCTTCATGCTGTTCGCTGTTACTTACTTGTGGACGGTGAGGCGATTGTCGAATTGACGACGCTGTCGGTGTGCCTGTAAAATGCGCCAAAGCCAGCCAGATTAGCGTCTATAGCTGAACCAGCAATAAGACTGTACTCACTTTCAAACTGGGCGATGAATTTGGCGCCTGTTCCGGTGCCGGTCGATCCGGTGTGTTAGCCTCTTCACTTTTGGGAAAATGCCAGGTGTACGATTCATTCAGTATTTGAATGCGGGCGCCATGCAGCAGTGGACGCTTGGTCTTCCCCTGGACAATCTGATCGTTAAGCAGGATTGGCTCGTTGCTAGAGTGATTGTAGATAACCACCTAGATGGCACATGTGAACAGATTTGACAATTATAAACATTCTTATTATTAATGTTACGGCAAATCGATACGCGCGCATTTCATTTACATACAAGCGCACACCCACACACACACACACACACTCAGCAGACGAATGCACACACTGTACTCACCCTGCCAAAGGCGTCGCATTGTATCTCGCAGTGAATGCGCTCGGCATCGGGCAGCACCAAATCGCAGCCCAAAAAGGAGCCCACATTGAAATTACGTCCTTTCGCGGTGTATGCGACTGTAGTGCCAGCGGCATTTACATAGTTTAATTGTGCGCCATCCAGCGACATTATACATTTAGCATTAAATTAATTACAATGCAGCTGCGATGAAAAAATTGTGAGCTTGTGGGCGGTGTGAGCGTCGGCGACGGCGGCGGCTGCAACTTTCGCTTGGTGCAGAAGAAAATGAACAGAAAAAGGAAGCGAAAAGCAAAGCTAGACTTGTACAGTGCACATAAAAACACGTTTAACACTATAACTGATACTCGCGCAACACTAACCGAACACTTTTTCAGTGGACTAAACGTTTATTACGCACTTTATACTGTGTTTTTTTTAGCACAAACAGCCCGGTTTTCTGTACAGGAATTCTTTTTGCAAGGGACGCGCGGCTCAGACATGCCAATCTGACTAAAAGCGCTGTTAAATTCAAATGCTCGAAATTGCTAGTTGTGTAAGTGCTGCCAACCTGCTTGCATGGATTTGTTTATTATAATAATTGCTAAAATTGAAAATGTCTTGTAATATAGTTAGTTTACAAACGATATTTATGGGTTGTAAACGGTTATTCCGAAAGCTATTTTTTCTTCTAACATTTTTAGTTAATAGTCATTTTCGATATATTCCACGATATATCGATAATTCGTAGACATGTTTCCACCCCTGGGTTTGACTGGCCGCCTGGCGCAGCAAGTTGTTATTATAATATAAGATTTTGTTATTCATATATGGAACAGATTTAAGTATATTTATTAAAAAAATAACACTATGTCAAAAATAACAATGAGTCAATTGACGCACCCGCAGCGCGTGCGTTTACTGTACAAAACCATATTGCGGCTGCATCGAGGTGAGTGCAACAATCGAGTAAACATAACCAGATCTTAATTCAAAACATTCCGAAATCAAGGTCTGCCCACAGAACTGCGCGCTTTGGGCGATAACTATGTACGCGATGAGTTCAGGCGGCATCTCAAATGCAATCCCATGGAGGCACAACTCTTTATGACCGAGTGGGCTGTAAGATTTACGTAAGCGTGTTCAAAGCTTTCTGATTGCCACGCCTCTTCTTTTAGCGCTACGCCTCCACCATCACAAAACAGCTGGGACTGCGCGGCAAACCGAAGGGAGAACTGGGCGAGCCACTGGATGCCCAGTCTGTGGAAATGCTCAAGGATGACCAAGTAGTACAGCTATACGAGCTAATGCTGGCCACCAAGGCTCTTAATGGCGATACGATTACGGCAGATGATGTGAGAGGCAGTAATCAATAAATTGTAGTTTTATTATTAGTTATTGTTTTTCCAATATTTTGTATTCGTATTTAATACCGTTCTCCTCCTGTACACCATGTGGCGTGTCCTCATCGAGCGGTACCTCATGAAAATCCGCCGGTATATTGGGAAAGAATGTGTCGCATTCGAACTGTTCTTGGATTTTCGTAATATACAGGCGATAACAACGCGGCGATGCCATCGCCTCCTCATACACTCCGCTGCCGCCCACAATCCAAATGTTCTCTATCTGATCGCACCAAGGCTCACTTTCACTTTCCAACATTTTCATCGCCTCCTCCAGACTGCGGCACAACAGCACATCATTTGGTAGCTCTGCCCTAGACATCGTCGTGCTGAGCACAATGTTCAGGCGGTCTGGCAGCGGTCGCTTACTGGGCGGTACACCAAAATAGGTCTTCCGGCCCATGATGACAACATTGCGCTTCGCGGGATCTCTAGTGCGTTTCGTCGTGCGACTAAAATACTTGAGTTCGGATCTGTCGATGGAAAATGTTAAATATATCAAACAAATCAGAATGCGCATGACTTTGAAACTTACTTGAGACGCCAGGGCAGATCGCCCTTGAGGCCAATGCCAAAGTTTTCGCAAACTGCAACAATTAAATTATACCTAAGCATCTTGACAGTCTGATTCTACTAATTGAGATAATACGGATGCTATCTTTATATCATTAAATTCAAACACAAGTTTCATGGGAAGAAGCAGATCAGTTATCGGTCTAATTTTCCATGACGTTGTGTGATGGGCGTCAACTTAGCGTCGATTTTTGGTAATTGGTATCGGAAAAGGAATCGGTGACTTTTAAATGCATTTATTTATGTTTTTAAGCACAGAACCTAATAAATTTAAATGCAGAATTGTACAAAATTAAATTATTTACTGCCTACATTCATTTGTTTTTGAATTTTAATTTATAATATGGGTAAACCAAGGGGTTGAAATATTAGGCTTCCACCATTCCATAAAAATCGAAATTTATACACACATAATTTAAATTGAATTGGTTCCCGCCCAATTCTGTACAAAATTGTTCAACACTGATGCCAGGCAGTGCTTTAGCTCACGTAGGAACTAGCAGTTCGATAGACTTTATGAATGAACTATATGAGTTTGGTTTACAATTAATTAATTAATTTTAAATCTGTACCCTCCATTTATTTAAAATTAGTGCCTAAAGCTTCCTAAATATGTACTTACAATAGGGTATAGCGTGCATTGAGGTCCATTGTCTCTGAGTTAAGAAATAAGGGCTCGAAGAGAAGGTTGATTTTTGCGGTCATTTTATATGGGGCTGACGTGGGGGTTGTTGCACTCTTTTCCAAATATCTTAAAAATGGGACCGACGATTTTAATCAAATTTTCACAGTTGGCTAGGTGAAACTCCAGGCTTTAATCGTGTATATGCGGTTTTCGGTGCCGTTATCCCTAAATTTAGATATTTATGGAATGGTGCAAACCTAATATTTCAACCCCTTGGCTTACCCATATTATAAATTAAAATTCAAAAACAAATGTATGTAGGCAGTAAACAATTAAATTGATTAGGTTCTGTGCTTAAAAACATAAATAAATGCATTTAAAAGTGACCGATTCCTTTTCCGATACCAAGTACCAAAAATCGACGCTGTCACCGCCGCTAATTTGACGCACATCCGATAATTACAGTTGATGTTTATCGGCTTATCGGTTTACCACTTATCGCACATTTTAGGTATTCAAACTTGGAGTGTTTTCTTTATTAAAATGCCAAATCTTCACATTAAAGTGTCGTTTAGTACTACAAAGATAGATATATTGACTTGCACTTTTACATAGTAAGTATATTACTCTGGTCCTCCGATTAGCCAATAGGTTTCCATATCCCCTTTGCCCTTAACTTTCACAAAGCCGCGCGCCTCCACTTTGTATCCCACTTCCCGCACCTTCATGGCCGTGTAGTTGGACAATTGTATCTTCCAGGGATCGCAGCTACTTTCCATGCGCGAGGCCGTATTCACAGTATCCCCAAAGAGGCAGTACCGTGGCACCTTCATGCCAACTACACCAGCTACCACTGGACCAGAGTTGATGCCCACACGAATAGCCACGTCTGGCAGATTATGGGCCTTGACCTTCTTAATAACGCGCAACGCCAAGTCGCAGGCGTGTTCCGCATGCAGAGGATTGGTATCCGGCGCTCCAGACACGGCCATATAGACCATGCCCACGGTTTCTACCTTATAGACAAACGGCGATATGATCTCTTCGTCCAGAGCAGAGAACACCTTGTTTAAGGTGTTGACAGCCTGCATGGCTTCCTGTACATTGGTTGAACCGCTGTCATAAATATTCATTACTTCAATGAAAATGACGGAGACCTCCTCAAAGCTTTGACAAACGTGCTCTTGTCCCATTCGCATTCGCTCGGCAATGGGTCGAGGTATCATGGAGTAGAGCAGTTCGTCACCCTGACGCTTCCAGGAATCGGCCAACTCCAAGGACTTTTCCAGCTCATCGGATCGCTGCTCCTCCTTCTCGAACATAATTTCGAGCTTGGAGCAATGCTGCCAGCCTGCCATGACCAGCTCGCGGCTCAGGCCATGTGGATTGAGATCATTCAGGTACAGGCCGATGCCATGCAGCTCGTCCAGATTCTCTATCAAGGGGCTGCACAGAAAGATCAACGAGTCGACATCCTTGATATAGAACATCTGACCCTTGAGCAGAATAGAACGGAGACCTACTGAAGCCCTGCGCAGTCCTGTGGCTGGATCGATTTCCTTCGTTGCCGCGGCCGCTTCTTCTTCATCTTTTTCATGCTCCTTTTCAAACTCCTGAGCCTTAGCCAGTGCCATGGTCTGTGCCTCGTTCAAGCTCGAGTCGTCGTAGTTTTCATAATCTATGTTGAGGGCCGCATCATAGGCGGCTCGACTGTGCCCGGTGCGTATCAGCTCCATCTCGAATAGCACGGTTCGCATCTGTAAAATGGTATCCCAGTCGATCTTGGTGTCTTTTGGCCGCCGGCAGTTGAACACATCCATGACATGTGTGCCAATAAAGCTCTTGGGATTAACGCCCGGATTATGCAGTATCCAAGTCTCAATTATCTTCTCGCCAGCCAGCGTTATTTTCATGTCGTGATTTAAAACAATCGTAAAGGGAAACAGCTCGAGGAACACATTCAGGTCCACCGACGGCATCTTAAGTTGCGATGGATGGGCGACAACGTTCACACGTTGGGCCATATAGTCGCGGTTGTCAAAGTCCAGGCGATACTTAACAATGACCGTTAAAGGACCGTCCGATAGCTTAATAGGTCCCGCGGTGCCACCGCATATATCATTCTGACTCTCAATAACATAAGCTGTCATTTCCAGGCCATAGAACTCCCTGGCCACCTCCGTCATCTGTCCAATGAGATATTTGGACATGCCTGTGCGCCCGCTGCGATATAATATAACCGCTCCATTGTCATCCATATTGGTCAGCTGCATGCTGGGCGATTTCATTTTCGGATATGTGAATCTCATCTGTAGATGTATATTATCGATGGACTGCAGGAAATCGCAAAAATAGCGACCCGTCGAGCGTATCATCTTGTCATAGCCAAAGTTACTGAAGAAGCGCACGAAACATTTGCCAAAGAAGTTCATGCAAAAGTCAAAGGACTCGCCCGTACAGGCGGAAAGCGCTGCGGCAATATCCGGCATCAGCTTGTCCGGATATATCTGATGCGTCTTAAAGCTATTGTGCTTACAATCGACTATCTGGCAAATCTTCCTCCACGTCTCCATGCCGTATTCCTCCTGTATATAGTGCTGAACGCTCTCGTATAGCATTCCGTACATGATGAAGGCTGTGGTTTCTTCAGTTTACGTGGCACCCCTGCGGGCTAAGGCAGGATACGACGAGTGACTGGGCGGGCAGGTGCTTCTGTGCGCTTAAATTGTTTGCGTCAAGTTTATCTGTAACGAGAAAAAGTTTGTAAGCGCATAATAAGGGTAGACTATTACAAAGTTTTTCCATTATTCAAAGCGTTGAAAAAGAACTTAAGTCAATTTGTCTGGGATTACCGAAAGTCAAGTCTTTGATATTAGATTAGGCAAAATAAATTGGATACTTTTGAGCATTAAGTTTTTATATATTAT